AAGAACCACCTGTGTGTGTTGAGGGCGACCCCGCTGAAACCGCCTGGGGCAATGTCTAAACCTCACTCCCTGCTGCAGACGTACTCAGGGTCCCAACACACCAACCACCCCTGGCTGGGGAAATTGGGCACTGTCCTGGATGGAGCGTGATGGTGCAGAGCCGAGCTCCGGGAATGGGAGGACACAGGAGAAGGGCAGCCCCATGGGACCTTCCTGGACCCCCTTGTGTCCCTGTAGACCATGCACTGGACTCAGCTGGGAGCGCAGCTGCCTGCTTCCGGTATGGTCAGGGCTGCTGTGAGCGTGTCAGGCCCGTGCTCCCATCTCTTCACTAGCGCCTAGTCAGCTGCCGATGCCAGGGGAAGGCTGCCCTAGGTTCTCATTTTCAAAAACATGAATGGCTCAAGCCCCAGCTCCATCCACCCAGAGCCGGATTTCAGGCTACGAACCACGTGCCAGCAGCGCTCCTCCAGGAGCATGCAGATCTCAAAGGCTGGGGGAAGTGTGAGCGCTGGGGACCCGGGTATGGACAAACTTCCAGAGGGGATCAGGTGAATCCAAGCCTGTCTGCAGGAAACGCTGCAGAGCATTCCTCGTTGAAAAGCCCTTCCACCGCAATAAGGCCTTTTGCAGCTTCCCCTCATCCCCCAAATTAAACCACCCCCAAACACCCTCCCCCAAGCAGAGGTTTTTCTCCAAAAAGGCCAGCGAGCCAGAGACTCCATGGGGCCTAGGGGTCAGTTCTATGGGCCAGGGGCTTGTATTGCATGCTGGGCTGCAGGAGAAAGGCCAAAGACAGCTAGCTATGGCCAGGCCCCTGAATCGGGCAGGACCTGGACGAGCCCAGGTGGGATGGCCAGAGGGGTGGGGGGCGTTTACTGGGTTCCCGCTGCTCCAGCACCAAGTGGCTGCCTTGCAGCCCGAGGCAGTGGGAAGCTGAGCCGAACCTGCCAGGAGAAGCCAAGCTGATGTGCGGGATGAGGGGGTGTTGTTTGAGCCCACACTCTCCTCTTGGCCATTTGTCCACTACACCGCTACCCCCAACCACCTGCCAGGTAGGTAACACTGCTGCACCCCCATGTCATGCCAGCCTGTGACTTGCCCCACCTTCGTCCTCCACCCCCCTGCACTTAGCCCAGTCTCCCACAGGACTGGCCCGAGATTTCTCCAGGGTCCACCTGGCTCCTGGGCAGTCTTGCTGCTTGAGCGGCTGCTCACTGAGCGCCTACCCTGCCTGGCCTTGGCAAGGGTGCCACTCCCCCTGGTGCCCATCAGTGTCAGAGAGAGCCGAGCGGCCCAAGGGCATTGACTCCCCGTGGCCTCCACGCACAGGTCGCTGAATTGCCTCACTGCTGCCTGCCAGCGGGTTGTTGGGGAGCATCAAAAGCCCAGACCCTCGGGTCGTCCTCTCGGTCCCCAGAGCTTTGCCTGAGGTGGGGGAGCTGCTTCATTTGATTTCTCATGCCTGGCGAACTGAAACTGCAAGCTCAGGAAGAAAAGCAGGTGTGAGCATTCCTGGATCCTCCCTGGCACCATCACAGCAGCCGGCGGCCAGGCTGTTTGAGTTCGAACCATAACCTGGGGAGGGGTGGAGCCTTCACTGGCCCAGTGTTAAGCACAGACTCTGGGGAAGGGCAGCCCTTGCCCACCTCTCACCCCTACCCCCGGCCCTAGCTGGAGCCACCAGGGGCTCAGAGTGGGATGCGGTCGGTATTGGTGCAGCCCAGGCCAACAGCACACAGGGAGATGGGGAAATCACGCCCCGCAGCAGGCCCAGACACAGGAAACCTGCTGCATGGACACGCAGCTGGGCTGTGAGTAGAGTGACCAGATGTCCCGATTTTATAGGGACAGTCCCGATTGTTGGGTCTTTTTCTTGTATTGGCTCCTATTACCCCCCACCCCCCTCCTGATTTTTCACACTTGCTGTCTGGTCACCCTAGCTGTGGGCCACCCACAGCCACACTTCCTGCTCACGACTGCCCCACAGGTTGCATTTCTTCTGGCATAGGCCGAAAGGTGATGAACCCACCACAGGGGAAGCCCCCGCAGTGACCGCCCCAGCGGTGACAGCCCTGCATGCCGCAGCAGGAAGAAGGAGGCCAGTGGAAAGGAGCGAGTTTCTGCTTATACCTACAGCCCCTGGGGCTCAGCACGCTGGGAAGTTACATGGGCTCGTGAGACAATATTGCATTGTCTAGTCTGCCTGCTGGAGTGTGACGGTGGCTTGGTAATGCTGACGCCCTGGCACTCAGGCGAAGTGACAGCACAAGGGAATTCGGAGGCCACGAAGCACAGCATTCCAAGGGCTTTTTGGCCCATAAGCATTTTAATCTGGGGAACCTTCAGAGCAGTGACATCCATAGCGCTTAGCACAGAAATCACAAGCATGTTGCACAAACGCTGCTAGCGGCACCTGGCTCCGAAAAGGCAGCAATTCCCCAACATGTGGTGTGGGGCGCAGCTACAACTGCGTGGCGGCTGCAAGCAACACAACCTGAAGCTACTGCTGCTACTACTGTTAGTCAGCGGAAGCCACTTCCTCCGGCAGGCACGCAAGGACTTGGGAGCCAGGCAGGGCTCAGAGCAGCAGGCAGAGGGCTCCCTCGCTGGCCCAGGACTGCCACAGAAAGTCATCAGAGCCGACAGTGGAGGAAAGTAGGATAGCAAGGCCAGGGGCCCCTTTCTCCAGCGGCTCCCCTGGAGGTGACATTCCAGGCCAGGCGCACTGAGCTCACCGCATGTGGCTGCGGGTAGGCGAACAATGAAACCAGCACAAAGCCAGGGGAGAGGGATTACACACGCACCCCAGGCCACACAGCTCAGCCATGCTTTATCCACACGCTGTCTGTTGGTGGGAAGGAGGAAGTCTGAACCCACATTAAAAAGGAATAAGGCAAATGGCTGGGCTGTACCCCAGCTGGCAGTGGCTGGCCCAGCCCAGGGGTACGTAGCGGTGCCATGGATGATGTCACTGCCAGGACGTGGGCCTGTCAGAAAAGGCATTATGCTCCCACGGTCACATGGGGTGAGGCGCGCTCCCAGAAGCAGCTTGTTACTGGCTAACCCTTCGGGTACTGGCTGCTGCTGCTGGCGTCAGTCCCCGGGAAGGGCGAGCAGCCTCCTAAGAGCTGCACCTTGCAGAAGGGCCGAATGGGGCCGAAGACTGGGCCTTTCAGAGCTAGTGCAGCCATCCAAATCCAGCCCCGGTCCAGAGTGACTAGACGTTGTGCCAGTCGTGATGGGGTGGGCTGGGGGTCTCAGTCCCTTTCAGTCTCCCCTCCCAACCCACAATTAGCACTCTTGACGGCAGGCTCCAAGAGGCCAAGCACTGACCGGGCACGGCAGCTCACCTGTCCTCCCCGCTACAGATGGGCTCTCAAGCACAGGGCAAGGGTGCTCATGCCACAAGCCTGCTGCCCACACTGGCACAGTTCTGGGATAAAAAGACGGTTTCAGACCCTCCCCCGGCATGTTTCTATTCCACCTTGAACCCCCCCCTTGGACACCAGCCCATCTACACTAGTCAACGTTGGGGTACCCCAGGCCAGTGCCTGACGAGCGCGAGGGGCAGTGAATACAGACAGGAGTGGTCCCTACTTGCACCATTCTCCCCAGTGTTACCAGGCTGGCAAAGCCAAGGGCACTCCGGCCCCAGGGCACTGCTGCCAGCTGCCCAGGCCGTGGTTTGCAGGCACGGGCCCCGCAGGGCGAAGGATGGGACCGGGCACCCCCAGGAGAGAGAGGCCAGGCGCAAGGTGGGCACATGCCAGGGCCATGAGACAGCAGGAGCACAGCTTTGTGCTCTGCCTTGGGAGCTGGCTGGGCCCCTCTTTGTACAGCGCCGAGCACAGCACCCCAGCCCCACCCCCTGCGGAGCGCGCCGCCTGTCGGCACGCCAGACCCACTGCAGCTGCGCCGAGCTTGCCCACAAGGGAGGACTTACGCATGCGCGTAGAACGCATGGGCAGTCTGAACTGCGCTTGCGCGGGGATAGAGCGGGGCGGGGAGGGGTTCCTGGCCGGGCCGGTCAGATTGAGTCTGCGCCGGGACTGGGCTGGAGGGAGGCCGGTGTGCGCCTGCGCGGGAATGGCGCCTAACTGCATCGCGCCTGGGCGGATGGGGGCGCTTATGCCACCTGGGATGCGCCTGCGTGGTAGTGTCCGGGGCCAAGCTCGGCTGCGCCTGCGCGTGGGGTGGCGAGGTTCCGGAGCCCGACCCGGGCGGCCTGCGCCTGCGCGCCGGCGTCCTGGCCCGGGCGGGCTGCGCCTGCGCGGCGGGGGTGTCCGGGCCCGGGCGGGCTGCGCCTGCGCGGGGTGCGCGGTGGCGGGGCCCTAAGCAGCTAGCGGCGCCTCCTGTGTGTCTGAGGCGGAGGGA